TCTAGCCCGGGTTTATTGCTTCGAAAGGGAAGAGGCGGCTGCCGGGAGCCTAGTCCGGGCCAGGGACAAGGGAGGAGGCAGGAGTTGCAGAGGAGGTCCCAGCTCCCCTAGGCGGTCCGGTCCGGGAGGCGGCGGGCGTGCGGGGCGCTAGGGGCCCGGGGCGGCGAAGGAGCCAGGGCGCCACTCAATCGTCCACGTCTATCTCTTCGTCTTCCTCGTCCTCCGAGCAGTCCTGGCTGCTGGCCGGCTGGTCCGTGAGCGGGGAGGCAGGAGAGAGCTGCAGGGGCCCGGAGCCTGGGGCCTGCGGGGCGCCTGGGGGGAGCGCGGGAGAGCCGGGCCTCGACTTGGCCCTGCCGCAGCCGCCGCCACCGCCGCCTGCGGCCTCTGAGTTCTGCTCCAGTTCGGCAAGCGCCACGATGTCCATCTGCCCGCTGGGGCCCAGTTTCTTGGCAGACTCCACGTCGGCCTTCATCTCCTCCAGGTCCCGCTTGAGCTTGGCGCGCCGATTCTGGAACCAGGTGATGACCTGCGCGTTGGTGAGGCCCAGCTGCTGCGCGATTTGGTCGCGATCGGCGGGGGACAGGTACTTCTGGTATAGGAAACGTTTTTCTAACTCATAGATCTGGTGGTTGGTGAAGGCCGTGCGTGACTTTCGCCGCTTCTTGGGGGTCTGCCGCTGCCCAAAGATGGTCATCCCGTCGCGGCCTGCGAGGAAACAACAGTATAGGCTCCGTCGGGAGAGAGAGCCCACCCTGGTTCAGCCCCCAGAACTCCCCGCCCAGGCCCACCCTGTCTGAAGTCCGTTGCTGCTAGCTTTCTCGGTATAATTCGGGTCTCCCTGACCAAGCCTCAGCTGTGATAAACCTCCTTGTCCCGTCTCTGGTCTCCCAAAAGTCCTTAGGAAAAATCGTTTTGGTCTCTTGCCCCCTACCTAGGAGTTGGTTTGAAGTCTCTAAGGAAGCCAGACAGGATGCCCGGCGTGGTGTCAATATTGATTCTCCACCTCTTCTCGATCACCCTGGACATCCTACCCAGAAGGTCCCAGCAACACTCTCCATTCCCTAGCCCAAGGACCAAGACTGGGATGCCCTGGCCACTGAGAATGGGTTGGGGGGGGGGGGGGCAGAGCTAGCAGACTGCAGGGAGAGCTTGTGTTCTTGCCACCCCCTCAAGTCACCCCCAGACTCTGGCCTACCCAGAGGTCCCCAGGAAACAGGGATTGGGTCCTGTCCCACCTACCTCCAGTCCCAGCGGCAGCAGCTCGGGCTGGAGGGCCCTGACTGCCAGCGCGGGAAGAGGTGGACAGAGGCTTAGGGAACCAGGCGCAGGACACATGGCTCAGGGGAACCCAGTGGTGGCGCCTACCTTCAGCTGCCTGAAGGACGGTGACCTCCAGCCCCTTAAAGGTCTTGCTGGCGAGCTCCTCCAGCGCGCACAGCGGCGAGGTCTGCGAGAGCAACGCGCGGCCCGCCAGGGGCAAGCCGCCCGGCGCGTGCTTGTCCGCCGCGGCCAGCAGGTGCGCCGCCCCGCACAGCGAGTAACTTCTCCGCACAGACGGCTTGTTGAGGATGTCCTCGATGCTGAACGGCGTCAGCGGCTTGTTGGAGTTGGC